TTGGCCAGTCACCTGCTGAATTGTCTCTCCAGCCTGGTTGGAGTTTTTTTTAAAGGACTTTTGTACCATTCAGCTATAACTTTATTTCAACTGATCTGGTGATCAATTTAGATTAAAATTTTTTTTCTTTTTTGGGTCACACCCATTGATGCTAAGGGGTTACTTCTGGCTCTGCACTCAGAAATCACTCCTGGCAGACCACATGGGATGCCGGAGATCGAACCTGGGTAGACCTTGCAAGGCAAATGCCCTACCGCTCTGACCACTTAGATTAAATTTTTAGGCTATATATTTAATTTAAAATATTATTTAAAATCTTAAAAGTTGAAGCACCAGTTTATGTTAGGTATGGCACTTTTGTCTTTTATAACATACAAATTATGTATGGTTATTTACATATATCATGAAATGACTTTAAAATCTTATACTTGGGGCTGGAGAGGTAATACAGTGGGCAGGGCACTTGTGTTGCAGACGTCTGACCAACCTGGCACCGCTTAGTGTTTCCTGACTCCTGCCAGGTGTGATAACTGAGCACAAAGTGAGAGGTATGCCCTGAGTAACTCTGGGTGTGGTCCTCAAACAAAAAGTCTTGTACATGATTACACAGATTAGATTTGAGTTCATAGTACCTCTTCACAGCTATCATTACTCCTTCCTTCGTAGGAATTGAGGTTGGCATATTCTGGCCTTGGTTACGAAGCCTTTACACTACTAAGTAAATCTCCTTCATTTGATCTGACTAGTTGGGAATGTAGTTAAAGAAGTTTGAAACTTAAAGGCTGTGTTGGTTGATCCCTGTCTGGAGCAGTCCAGGCCCACATCATTCTAGATTTCTGCAAGCCCTTTAATTTGCCTCTCTGGCATGGTGTCCACAGTTCATATACGCTGTGAGAAATTCCATAATACCGTACTTAATGCTGCTGATTATGCAGGTTTCTACTTGGTTTTTCCCCTTTGTCACCATAAATGAGTCAAGTGATGAGTAAATGGAAATTGTTTGTGGTATATGGCTAGACATCAGTGGTGTCCAGATAATACTCAGGCTGTCAGTCTGAAACTTCAGCATAAGATCACCTGACTTATCTGGGTAGATCATTTTCCATAAAATGAGGTTTGCCCCTTAGCTTGCCCGAACTGTAGTATAGCCATTCTAACTTTTTTAAAACTATGCTCCACTTTATCAAGCTTCCCCAACTACTTTCATGAAGTACACACTAGTAGGAAATTACTCTCCCCTGGGTAACTCAGAAAGGTTTTTCGTTGTTTCTGCATGTTTCCCTGAATGGTTCTGGGTGTTGTGAGTCTTTGTCATGTATCTGTTGTATAGCTTCCCTGTATTTTGGGGGTATTCTTCCATCTAGTGTCTACCTACTATGATACGAATAACCGCATGTTAATAAAAGTTGTTGACTCTGTTCATTCTGAATTTGAATCTGGGATCCTCAGGGCTTTTGCCTTTCTCAGAAGTTTTATCTGTGAGTCAAAAGTTAAAACAGGTGACTTTTTCTCTTGTGTGTTTATTTTTTGTAAACCCAAGATTTTCCACCAGAATTTTAAATTGTTCTCTTTATTCTTGCAGATATTGGCGGGGGGTGGGGCTTATCAAGAGTGACTTAACTGGTTTCTTTTTAAGTTTATTATTATTTGGAATTTTAGGGTCACTTGCTTGCTCTAAGATTGCTCCCTCTAGTACTAAGGGAACCAAACAGTGCTGGGATCAAACGCGGGGTTCCCACATGCAGCAGAACATGAGCTCCAGCCCTTTGACTATCTCCCTGACCCCCAGAGTGATCTTTTTTCTCAAATGATTCAGTCTTGTTAGTGAATATAAAAGCTTGGGAATTAGTTTAGAGCTAATGTTTCTAGAAATTTTATGTATTCCCCTCTTAGTTTCGAGGCTCCAAGGCAGCCACATTTCACCTGACTGCATTTTCTAGCTTTCTCTTTAGTGATCCATTAAAATGCAACAGTGTATCCCTCCTGTTTTTTTTTTTACTATGGATGCCTCCCCCTCCCCCTAGTCTTAATGAAAAAGAATACACATTTGTATATATTTGATTATCCAGGGTGCACTTGACAAGATTTTGCAGATTTGACTTGTTCCTTGATTGTTATAAAAAGGAATAGATGGCTATATTTTGGATTTTTATCTTTTGGCTCTGGTTGACTTTAACTCTAGGTTGTCTTTGCTGATAAGCAAGCAATTAGAATCAGTTAAAAAAGAGAAGGCCCCTGGCCAAAAAGACTGTTTGGACTAGCACGCATGCACTGCATGCAGAAACCTTAGGTTTGATCCCTGACACTGGGAAGATGCCTGCCTCCTCCCTCCATTGCTTGGTACAAACAAAACAATAGAAAACAAAAACAAGGCCATCTCTACAAAGAAGTACCCCTCACTTCTTTCCCTAACCATGTAATGCTATATTCGTCTTTTTGTGTGTGTGTGTGTGTGTGCTTTTTGGGTCACACCTGGCGATGCACAGGGGTGGTTACTCCTGGCTCTGCACTCAGGAATTACTCCTGTCAGTGCTTGGAAGACCGTAGTTGGCTACGTACGAGGCAAACGCCCTACCCACTGTGCTGTTGCTTCAAGCCCCTGTAATGCTTTATTCTTGCTGTGTTCCAGTACTTTTAGAACAAAAACAGCTCTGAATTAGTTCATCAGAAATGGGTTTATTTCTTTCTTTGTTTTCTGGGGTATAGTGGACACTATGAACCACGAGAACAGAGTGGGGTTTTAGCCTCTAAAAGGAGATTTTTGAACAACTCCTTTGGATATTGTGTGTCTGGCTCAAACCCTGGTGTGTGGGGATGTAGGCCTGGTTGGGCTAGACTTCGGTGGAGTATTAAAAGGGCCTAGCAGGTTTGAAGAAGCCTACTCTTATTTTTTTTCATTTAAAGGTATTTAATTATTTCTCCATCTTTCAAAGATTGAATTGGATATATGTCATTATATATGCAATGTCATATCCCTATGTGTAAAAACTTCACTGTAAATTCCTGAGTGGTACTGTTGAAGTAAAAAAACATGCACACACATAATTTTGAAAAATATTGCCCAATTGCTCTCATACGACTTGTGCCAATTTCTTTTCTACCAATAACAATCCACGAGGGTGGCTGAGTACTCTTATTTCCAGCTCCGTCCTCCTCTATCAGTGCATCCCCGGCTGGTGACTCACATGGAGTGTTCTGTTCTTTTGATTTGAAACAGAAACTGAAATTCATTCTGTCTCGTAATTCTGATGCAGCAAGTCAGGAAAGAAAGGGGATACTGGAGTGTCTGTCTGTGTCTAGAGATACTTCATCAAAGATAGGGCGCTGGAATGGAATCCTGAGGGTATTTGAAGAGGGCAAAGGAGGGGGTAAGAGATTGCACACAGGAAGGGGCTGAAGAACAACAACTCAGCACAGAGAGTGATGGCAGGAACACCAAACCGTGACATGTGGTGGGAATGGAACGATCCCTCTGATCCCTCTGACTAGTTAGATGTGGAGGCCTCAAAGCCAGGGTTTGTCTCGAATTATGCCGTTAAGGACCTGAGCATGAGTCGAGTCTTTGTCACTGCACATCAAGGTCAAGTAGCAGGAGTTGGCCAGATGGGTTGGGACTGAGTGATCCTGGTGTTGACTGGGCAGATATGTATGTTCAAGGTGTTTGTTTTCTGGGGTATAGTGGACACTATACCCTTATATCCTTCAGCCAGGAGGCTGAAGGAAATAGATACTGAACTTGGGGAGCCTGAGGTAGAGAAGACAGGACTGAAGATGCAGGGTTTACTCCTTTTTTTTTTTTTTGCCACATCAGATCACCCCTGACTGTCCTTAGGTATCATTCCTGCAGTGCTTAGGGGACCATATGTGGTGCTGAGGTATTGAATCCATCCAGGGCAATGCTTTACCCTCTACCAGAAGACTTACTTACTTGAAAACAAGTAATCAGTGGAGCAGTAAAGGTGGATTATGCTAATCTCGTCAAAGTTTGGAATTTAATTTCTTTTTCTTTCTCATGCCTATTGATAGGCAGATAGATTACCACCTGAAAAACTGTAGCCCCTTTAAAAAAATAAACTGCACTTTTACATAAGTGCTGAAGGATAATAAATGATTCCCTCCCCTTTTTTGAGTTTTTGTTTGTTTAGGTTATACCCAACTGTGCTCAGGGCTTAATCCTGGCATATTCAGGGGACCATGTGGGGAGCTGGGGATTGAACCTGGGTTAGTCACGTGCAAGGAAAGCCTCCTATTCACTGTACTCTTGCTCTGGCCCCCAACATTTATGACATTTGGCTCTTTAGGAAATATGGGGTCTGGGGCTAGATAGAGCGAGATAGTACAGAGGTAGGACCCTTTCCTTGCCAACCAGGGTTCAATCCCTAGCACCATAAATGGTCCCCTAAGCCCCACCAGGACTAATCCCTAAGTACTGAGCTGGGGGTAAACCGTGAGCACCGCTGGGTATGGCCCAAGAACCTAACAAAGATGCAAAAGAAAGAACGCTGAACAGATAACTCAATGGGTGGAGCCCTTACTTTGCATTAGGGAGACCTAGGTTTGGTTTTGGGTTTCATGAGCACCATTTAGTATGGCTCCCAAAGAAAAAACATTAAGGAGCTGGAAAAGTAGTACAGGTGTTAAAGTGCTTACCTTGTATCCTGCTAACCCCAGTTTGAATCTCTAGCACCATAATGTCCCCTTGAGCACCACCAGGCCTCATTCCTGAATACTGACTGATGTGGCCCAAAAATCTAAAGAAAAAAATTCTGTGCAATAAAAGCGCATAGATAAGCAGATATTCCCAGGAAGCTCAGACTCTTTTTTGATTTTATGAAAAATCCTAAAACCAATAAGAATCGCAAGCAAAGTTAATGCAACTTGATGCCAGAAAGGGTATAAAAGGGAATTTTGTTCTAATTGTTCCTGCTGCATATGAATTTTATCTTTTTATGGTGGAATTTAACATGTTTCACAGTGAAATCATTTTTATTTTCTTATAGCCATGGTTTGAAAAAGTTCTTTTCTTGTCGTGGAATTGCTATTGCAGTTGACTATTTTTGGAAGCTTGGCAACAGAAACATCACTGTGTTTGTTCCTCAGTGGAGAACAAGACGTGATCCTAATGTCACAGGTGAGACAAATTGATTTTTCCAGATTTCTGATTGCATGTTTAATGAGTGAGCTTATAATGGTGACACACACTGCGTAGAAGAATGCATGTGCCATAGATAGCAGCTTTCAAAATAAAAATGTAAATCCCTTGCTCCTATTTAAGTGTCAGTTGAAGAGGATGCTATAGCCTTAAGAAAAGAAATACTGGAGTGTGGAACTGGGGAGATCATACGGTGGTTAGGGCGTGCTGCCAACTCCAATAACTTGTGCTTGTGAGTTCATCAAACACTGCAGAAATTTTGACTTAAAAATGTAGTTCTTGGGGCTGGAGCGATAGCACAGCGGGTAGGGCGTTTGCCTTGCACACGGCCGACCCAGGTTCTATTCCCAGCATCCCATATGGTCCCTCGAGCGCCGCAAGGAGTAATTCCTGGGTGCAGAGCCAGGAGTAATCCCTGAGCATTGCCGGGTGTGACCCAAAAAGCCAAAAAAAAAAAAAAGTGTAGTTCTTTAGCTTAGTCTATTATGTTTGAATAGATTGTGGGTTTTGTTCAATATTGTGAAGCCCTTGGGTTATCTCTTTCGCTGATGCTCATGTGATGCTCAGGGTTGAACCCAGGGCCTCAGATGTGCAAGGCCTTCGTTCTACCACCAAACTGCATACAGCCCAGCCCTAGTGTTCTTATTGTTTGGCTGAGGGGGGCATTGTTTGTTTTGGGGCCACACCCTAAAACAAACAGTTCTCAGGGTTTATTCCTGGCACTGTGCTCAGAAGTCACTTCTGGTGGGGCTAGGGGGACCATATGGGATGCAGGGATCAAATGTGGGTTGGCTGTGTGCAAGGCAAGCACCCCCATACACTGTACTGTTACTCCGGCCCCAGTTCTAGTACTTTTTGAAAGTCACTTGATAAACTCAGGACCCTGAAATAGAATATGTTTTTAATAGTCTTTTGAGTAACACTATAAATCATTTCTGTTAATTGTATGAAACCTCTAGGCCACAGACAGAAGGTGCGAACTTATTAGGAATCATGAAAAATTTTGAAGAAATTTAGATTATTTCTTATGTCATGGGGCTGGAGTGATAGCACTCCAGCTATCACTGGAGGGCGTTTGCCTTGTGGCGAGCCAGGTTCGATTCCTCCTCCCCTCTCGAGCCCGGCAAGCTACCAATAGCATCTCGCCTGCACAGCAAAGCCTGGCAAGCTAACTGTGACATAATTTGATATATGCCAAACACAGTAACAAGAAGTCTCAAAATGGAGATGTTACTGGGCCCGCTCAAACAAATTGATGGAACAACGGGAGGACAGTGTGTGTTACTTCTTATGTCATGATAGGAAGGCAGATGAAAGGGAACTTAACATACCAGAGACCTAGAAATAACAGGTAGATTGGGAGTTGGGAGAAGGGTGAGTACACTGCTTACCTAGCACATCATACAGAAAATAGAACCTAACCATTCTTAAAGCAGAGATGGTAAAGCCACACTTTTTTTTAAATTTTATTTTCTGATGGTATTTTATTTTATTTTATTCTTTTTTAAAAATTTTTATTAGTGAGACACCACAGTTGTAGACTTACAAATTTTTGTGCTTGGATTTCAGTTATACAATGATCAAATACCCATCCCTCCACCAGTGCCCATTTCCCACCACCACAGATCCCAGTATCCATCCCACCCCCCATTTCCCCCAAAAGCCACACTTTTTAAATACCCAAACCTCCCTCATTTTGGAGTATCTATTTGCCATAACAGAAGGTACTTCAGGGAAGAGACAGATGGTGCTCATTTTGCAGATACTTTTGCAGTTAGATTCCCGAAAGAATCATGTGAGCTTCTGGGTTCTCAAACACTTTGGTCAGAGGTGGGTAGTGACAGTAATGTATGGGACTCTCAGACCTCAGTCTGGGGCTTTGGCCCATTACTGACTTTCTCAAGGGAGACTTAGTCCCTCCTTCTTTCTCTGTGACCCACCTCCACAAATACCTAAATTCTGCAGACTGAAGGGAGTTGTTGACAGACTGGGAATTGGGAGCAGGGAAAAATCATTTTGGGTATCAGGTGTGTGTCATAGTGGTGCAGCCCTCCCTTTGTGTTGTTCCATCATTGCCCTCTCCAGTGGGTACCCTGTCCTATGCTGACACACTTGTCATCACTGTTCACATTGCTTATAGTGGGGAAGTGAAAAACTTCTTGTAGGATTCATTAGGTGTTGGTTTATGATTTACTCTTAAATAAATGAGTCAAATATTTTTGTCTTTGGAAACATGGTAGAAGTCAGTTTTTACATTGGATTCGTCTTGAAATGTGCTTTGCTCAACTTTTTTTTCATACTAAGTCAGTATAGTAGTTTCCCAACTCTATAAGCGAAACATTTGGGGGATAATTTCAGTTATTTAAATGTCTTTTTCTTTTTTTTTCTTTCCTTTTCTTTTTTTTTGGTAATTTAATTTTTTTAAATTTATTTCTGGGTTCTCTAGTTTGCAGTACTATTAATAATTGTTTTTCATGCACAAGATTGCCTTTTTCTGAATGTATTTCAACTTATTCCATGAACAGAACAGCACTTCTTAACTCAGCTCCAGGAGCTTGGAATATTATCTTTAACTCCTGCACGGATGGTCTTTGGAGAAAGAATTGCTTCTCATGATGACAGGTAAGAAAGGCCATTTTTCTTTCTGAGGTGAGAAGGGATGTGCAGTGCAGAGGCAAGCCCTTGCTCTGCTGAATAGTTGTGCAGCTGGACTCACAGTCTCTGAGGACTCCCTGATTCAGATTGAGTTTTAATAGTTATTGCCTCATTGATTTTATGTAGAAATTTGGAAAGTTACACCAAAACTGTTGCATTCTTTCTTTTTTCTTTTCCTTTTTTTCTTTTTTTGAGGTGTTGAGGGCCTCACACATACAAGGCTCTATTGCCGAGCTCATCCCCACCTAGAATTTTTTCTTTTTGGTTTTGGGGCCACAACCTGTGGTTCGGAGCTTACTCCTGGCTCTCTGTTCAGGGGTCATCCCTGGGAATGCGTGGGGGATCATGTATTGGGGATTATAATAGGGGTGTCTACCTGCAAGGGAAGCAAGCACCTCAACCCCTGTACTCTTTCCAACCACTCGGATTTTTTTTTTTTTAAAACATGTATAGTAACATAGGCATAAAGTAAAAACAGACGTTGAGGTAGTCTTGGTGCATAGTGAAAATCATGTCTGTCTCATTTTAGTGTGGCCATCTCATGAATGATTTTCAAACATTTCAAATTGTTTTGGACTTGTCTATCATAAAAACTGGAAGGAGGTGCTAGTACCTTTGCAACAGTAAGCTTCCGTCCATATCTTTTATAGGTTTTTTTTTTTTTGTAAAGGCTATGTAGTGAGCACTAATAAAGTGATAATGTGGGACTGGGCTCTAGGGACCCATGGAATTCAGATGTACTACTCTGCCCTGAGAAGCTTGTGATCCAGAGAGAAGAAATAACAGTTGTTATTAAATTAGAAAAGGTTCCAAACTTGACCAATGGTGTAAAAGCCAATTTTAAAATTCTCTCACAGTAATGGCAAGCCTCTTAGTATGGAACTTGAAGGGGGTAGCTATAAATTCTTTTCTTCTCAGTCGCCCTCTTTAAAAGTGGGGTGTGTGGGTCCTAGAAGGTGGCTCAGTGATTTAAAGTGCTTTACCAAGGCTCAAAACCAACTTCACGCCCTGAAGCAACCATGCCAAACCTGACAGCGCCACCATCTCTCCCTGATTGGGTGTGGGGCGGACGGGATGGGACTCAGGGTGAATGAATGATAGACATTTTTATTTAGTGAGTGGATTAATATGAGAGAGTGGATCTGATGGAGGAAAATGAGGTAAAACGAAAGAATCAGGCTGGAAGAAATAGAACCTGGACCTCAGGGCATGAGTGAGAAAAACCTGGTAGACTGAAGTCGAGAGGCACCTCTTGGTCTTACATTTGATACCTGTAGTAGTTGGGTAGGAAGGTCGATTGGGAGTTGGAGAAATAGTACAATTGTCAGGACATTTGCCTAGCTTGTGACCAACCCAGATTTGGTACCTGGAATCTAATATGATCCCCAGAGCACCGCCAGGAGTAAGTCCTGAGCACTGTCGAGTGTGGCAACAAAACAAAACAAGAAGGAAGATGGAACTCCTGAAGGGAAGAACCTTCAGGCCCAGTAAAACAGTAACTGTATTTTCCAGCAGAATTTGGTTGCATGTACAAGTGTGCAGATCAAGCTTTTGAAGAATTTACATGCTCTTGAGTTTTTTGGTGGAAAAAAAATGTTATTTATAGTACAGGCACTCAGAAACATTACTTACCTGTTCTTTTTAATGGCTCTGGCAGACGTCACTACTTACACGTGATGCCAGTCTAGAAATAAATGTGTCATTCATGAATCTAAAGAGCTAAATCCTGTTTACTTTCCGTTTCCTAAAATCTATCTTGTAAAGAATATTTAAGAAACATTTTAACTAATAAAAAGTTGTTTGTGACTTTAATTCCAGAGCTTCTCATAACTTGTTTTACTATTTTTGTTTACATTCCTTTGATCCTAAGGAATAAAATTCACTTTTTCTTAACTGATGCATCACTCTCACAATTATTATCCATTGTCATCATGCATCTTTTCATAAGTTGCTTTTGAGTTTATAACTTGGTTTACACAGAATGGCAGTTCTAGATTTCTCTTAAGAGCTGAAAATGTGAACCTTTATTTATTTATTTTTCAATTTTATTTGGTAAAGAATTACCAGCTGCCTGAAAGAAGCAGTTAATCTTAGAATCAGAGTACTGTAACTTAGTAACTAAAACCTAAATTGATATTTGCTGGCCTGTTAGCTTGTATTCATTCTTTGTTCTTAGTCTGCTGTTTTATTACCACTGCTTGTTGATAGTACTCCTAACTTATTGGATATGCCAAACACAGTAGCAACAAGTCTCATGATGGAAATGTTACTGGGCCCCCTCAAGCAAATTGATGAACAATGGGAGGACAGTGCTACAGTGTTCTCAAGAAGGAATTAAATTACTTGAAAAGCACACCTTCATTCATAATCACACTAATAGTTTAGTATTTCGGATCATTCGTTGGCATGACTCAATTCTGCTTTTAAATTCTGCCTTAGCTAAATTCTTTGATTTTCCTATGAAAAGGAAATCCATTTGTTTTCTTAAAACACAGCTTTTTTAAAACTAAGAATAAGAAAGCCAGTGTGTTCACTTTAACTTTATTTTTATTTATTTTTTTATATTTTTCATTACCATAGGTTTCTGTTACACTTAGCGGACAAAACTGGTGGTATAATTGTAACAAATGATAACTTCAGAGAATTTGTGGCAGAGTCAGTGTCTTGGAGAGAAATCATTACAAAAAGGTAATGTTGTCTATGTTTTTGGTCAGGAATTTTTGTTTATGTGATTTTGTTTGCATTGTGTCTACTTTGTGTCTGTGTGGTTGAACCCTGCACAAAGCAAAGGAATTCATCCTCAGATTTACTCCCAGTCTGCAGGCTGACTGGTTTCTGAAAGTACAATGGGAAGACCTAGCACACAACAGCACAGTCAGGTGAATGATGGGGGATTCTGAGTACCCTAAAGTATTTTCTAAGAGATAAAGAGTTTCCTGCCATGGGGCTGGAATGATAAGCACAAGCAGGTAGGGTGTTTGCCTTGCACATGGCTGACCCGGGTTCGATTTCCAGCATCCCGTATGGTCCCCTGAGCACCGCCAGGAGTAATTCCTAAGTGCATGAGCCAGGAGAAACCCCTGTGCATCGCCAGGTGTGACCCAAAAAGCAAAAAAAAGAGAAAGTTTTCATGAGGCATGAAACGGATCATTGTGAGCTCATTGTTAACTATGTAATGGGACACAAATGACCCTTACCTTAGCCTTGACATGATACCAAAGGAGATTCTGGCAGTTCATTGGAACTGCCTGTTTTATTCAACTTGGGATATGAAGCTTGGGTATAATGGCAGTTGTGATTTCAGAAATAGAATAAGACCAAAATTAACATGCTGATTAGATGCTTGACTTCTTGAAAGAGGGGAAATTTCTAGGCTTTCAAAGCTGATAGAGTTTTGTTTTGTTTATTTTTGTTTTTTCGGTTGGTTGGTTTTGGAGCCACATCTGACAATGGTTGGAGGGGTGTATAGTGCTGGGATCAAACCCAACCGCTCATGTGCTTTGCATACACACTTAGGCCTCTTGAGCTGCCGTCACAGCGAGTGTGCATTTATTGAGCTTATTTGCCATCGTTTAATAATCTGTGTGGAACATGTATCTTATTATCATCCAGAACAACAAAGTCAAGAGTTTAGCATTCACTGCTCTGATTTTCTTATTTGATGATGTACTAAATATGTCCAAATGCTCCAGAACTGCCCAAGATCAGAAAACATTGGCTTCTTTAAGTAATTTGATGATTTAAAAGACTATGGTATTGTCAGGATAAGTCTAATAGCACAAATCTAAAAACATAAATGAACATACCTTAAATTATATGTTACTGGTAAATGAATAGAATAAGAAAATATTGTACCTCCTTTGGGATTTCAGCAGTTGTCATATTTTACTGTTGCTTTGAAGTTGGCTCGATGCTTTGAGATACTGATCAGTTCCTGCAGCAAGAAACATTATGTTTCCTACAGTTGAACTGTAATAAATTTCTGTGTTATAGGTTGCTTCAGTATACCTTTGTGGGTGATATATTTATGGTTCCTGATGATCCGCTGGGAAGAAGTGGCCCTCGTTTAGAAGAATTTCTTCAGAAGGAAGGCTTCCTTAGGTATTTTCTTTTTCAGATTGTCTTGCATTTGCAGGTTTATTACAGTTGAATTCTTTTGTTTGTTTTTGCTTTTGTGCAAATGCTGTCTCCGAAGACCAATAATGAAATTTTACTATTTTTAAAAAGGACTTAAATATATTTCTATTATAAAACATGTGAAAGTAAAGCACATCAAGCACCCCAAAATACCAAATCTTCATTTTTGGCTCTTAGGAATTTAACCACAGGAGATTAGGGAGCCAGACTTTATCTATAGGTCTAAAACACAGCAGATTTTGCTGGTAATAATGAATGCCACTGAGATTCATTATGTATTTCTTTGTGCATGTGTCTTCTTATGTGCTTTGAATAGGTGGTGTTAATCTACAACTGTCAAAGGATCATGACCCTAGGGACCATCTTGTTACATGCTGTCTTCACTAGATGGAGATCCACATTTTATCTGAAGTTTAATTCGATAATTCACATGTCTGTTGGTTGTCCTTTGGGTTTGTTTTTTGTTGTTGCTGTTTCATTTTTAAAGACACTATGCTAGTGATTGTTTCTGTTTCAGAATTTTCGGTAATGGATACTCGCAGATCATATTACCCAGTACAGACTTTCACCATTAACTTACTTATTTTTGGTTTGGGAGCCAAAACCAGCAGTGCTTGGGGGCTATTTGTGACTCCGTTCTTGGAGGTTGCTCCTGCTGGTGCAAGAGGACCATATGGTACCTGGAAGAGAACTCAGAACTCCTGCATGCTGAATGTGTGCTGAGTGCTGAATTTGAGCTCTCTCCCTGGCCCAGCTTTCCCCCTTTTAAAAACTAAGTAAATTCCGCTTCTGGATACTTCTGCCAAAGGGGGGGAGGGGAGCTTGATAATACTACGGGTGTCAAATGTGCTTAGCTTCTACTGCTTTTTTTGATTTTGGGTCACACCCAGCAATGTACAGGGGTTATTCCTTTGCACTCAGGAATTACCTCTGGTGGTACTTGGGGGACCATATGGGATGCTGGGAATTGAACCCAGGTCAGCTGCGTGCAAGGCAAACGCTCTACCTGCTGTACTATCGCTCCAGCTCCTCCCTCCACTTTTTAAAGGTCGTGAGCCAGAATGGCTTATTTTTCCTCCAGATGGATCCTCTGGGGGCTTTAGGTATAGATTCAATTGTTTGGGAGTTTTACATGGAACTGTTTTCTACAGAGGAGACCAGTATGATTTCAGCTCCCTGAAATCCCTGGTTACGTGAATCATTTCTCTTTTGAACCTTTTTTGGGTTTTGTTTCATAGATGAAGATCTAGTTCCAAATAGTCTGCAATCATTGCCACCATTGTTAACAGTTACCAGGTGTCAATACATTTCATTTTTCCTTTTTTGACCCCACATGTAATACCTTGGTGATTATTTGTAAGGCTTTGAGGTCTGAGTCTTGTGTAAGTGAGCCTAGAGACCCACGGCTCAGACTTGGTGGGAGCAGGGTGTCTGACTCCACCCACAGACTTGACTGCTGTTCTTTCCAAAGATACTACCTGACTCATAAGTTATCAGGAACTCTGCTTACAGCAGGACTAGCTTTTGGAGTTAGCTGAGGTTTGAAGTTGGGAGAAATTTACCTAGTCCTATTCCTTAAACTGCAAGCCAGAGTCACAGTGGCAGCCTTCTAGTGAGGGAAAGGCCCATCATATGGTCTGTGTACACACCCCTGGGTGTGTGGGTGCACTTGAGATACGGAGGTAATCCATGGTTCAGTGGGGGCTGCCTCTCAGCACAGTGGTGTTCCCTACGTCCTGCCAACCAGCATCCCACACAGAATCAGATCTCCAGAAGAGTAGGACCCTATGCGGATCCTGTGAAAGCTCCCAAGTGATTTTTTGGAGCGACCTTGTTTAGAGCCAAATGACTGGACAAGGTCAGCCCTCACAGCAGCAGGCCCGGACGGGTGCAGTAGCACCTGAAGACCTGTCACTCCCCCACCTTGACTACATACTTCTGGCTTGCTTTGAGAAGCCAGCAGCATGTTGAGCCTCAAGTTCAGAACTGGGTATTTTAGGAGGGTTTCTAGTTTTTCTTAATAAGCCCACTCACCCAGACTTGCTTCCATTCACAGAGATATGCAGCCCCTGCTCAATGCCCTGCCAAATGTGGGCATGTTTGACCCTGGCTTCCGAGGCCCTGGCGCCCAGGCAGCCAGCACCAGCCACCAGCCTCCAGCCCGGATCCAGGGCAGCCCACCCAGCCACTGGCTGCCTCAGCAGTCTCACTTCCCTCTCCTGCCAAACCTCCCCAGTATCCAGCAGAACCTGCCCCTGCCCGCACAGAGGTCTTCCGCAGAGACCAGCGAGCTGCGGGGAGCCCTGCTGAAGATCTTCCCCGACTCGGAGCAGAGACTGAAGATCGACCAGATCTTAGCAGCTCATCCGTACATGAAAGACCTGAACGCGCTGTCTGCCATGGTGTTGGATTGAAGTCTGTCAGGAGCCGGCGCTCAGGGCTGAAGGTCACACTCAAGCTAGTGTCTGCATGCAGCAGCCAGAAGCGATATAATGTGAAGAAACCAATTTCCAGTGGAAATGCTGTTGTAGTATATAGAAGAAACATGTTTTGTGTATAAAAAAAAATCTGGATTTTCAGAACCAGCTTTTTTCTATATATAAATTATGCTGCTATTACAGATTTAACATTTTCTGTGAAAGGAAAGTCTACATTTTCTGCCTGTTCAGAACTGTTTAATAGCAGTTAACTCTTGAGTGTATTTACATTTTTATGTTTTTTAAACTATTTTCCTTAAAGCTGAAAATATTGACAAATGGATAAAATTAGCCTTTCTAAATAAAAAAAAAAAGAGTTGCTTTCTTAGGGAAAGCAAGACCTCTTAAAAGTATATTTTCTTGAGATGACTATGTCACGTGCACTAACAAGAAGTGTACTCACCCCTCCAATCTCCTCCACCCACACCTCTGGAATCAGGAGTCTGTGGGAGTCAGTTTTGCTTTCTTGAGGTCTTTCATCGGAGCCATTTGTGAGAATGGACAATGGGTGCCACTAGATGGCACCTTGTGCCTAGCCATTACTGTTGACCAGGGCCTTCCGGAATGTCAGGGTCAAGAGAAAATTTAGAGCCCGTATAATCAGCCCTTCTCCCCGCCCGTCCCACAGAAGGGAGAACTGAGGCTCGGCGTGCTTCCTGCCCGGGTGTGCTCAGGTCCATGCCGGGCAGTAGCACACATGTACAGGACCCTCCTCATACTGCTCTGACACCTCACCACATGCCAAGGCCTTGCTGGGCCCAGCCTGACTAGAAATATAGCTGAGTGTCTGAAGATAGAAGTGAACTTGACAGCATTTAGCGAACAGCCCCATCATTGTGAAAATGATGTCCCCATATGAAGTTAGTGCCGCTTTGTCAAAAAATGTTTTTATATTCTCAAGAATGACCTAAGCCAATAAATAGCATTAGTAGCTTCTGTGGGGGCCTAAAGCCCCATATTTATTTTTTCCTGTGTTTGTGTCTTTAGTGCCCTAAGCAGCCCCCTCTGTAAGTCTTTTTCTGAATTGATATCTTAGTATTACCCGTTTTCAGTGTTAACCGTATTGTCGTTGAAGTTCTTTTTCCGAGTAATCAGTTCATCTTTACTCTTTTCTGAACCTCCAAAGGGCTTTGTGTTTTCTACCTGTTCTCTCTCCAGTTGCTCACCATCACTTCCATGTCTGCCCTGTGGATCATGTGTCTCCTGACCCCCGACTCAGCTTCTGAGGACTTGGTGCTGGTTTGTACTCCCAGGCTGATGGCACTTTGTTTGCTCCGAGCAAAGCTGGGTGGCTTTCTGGGATGTTCTCTCCAGGCGCACTGACTCCCTCAGAAGGATGCATTGCAGTCCCCCGGTGGTCAGACTTGTAGTTCAATCATAAAAAGTTGCAATTTTCTCCTGGGGGCCTCAGGTGCATCCTGTTATGTAACTATTGTTTGGGGGCTGGGTTGCACCGGTCACCCATTGGGGAAGGGGAGGTGGGAGATGTGAGGATGACCAGGAAGTGACTCAGTCACAACTGGGTGCCTCAGCTTTGAAGCTGGTGGGTTTTTAACCATAGCAAAGATGGGAAGGCTTCTTTTTCTGAGTAGTTAATTCTTATTGCCTTGCCATTACTCAGACCTTCTGGTTCAAGTTTGGCCCAGCCTAGCTTACTAATCTAGCAATTCTCCTCTGTTTTAGAGGGGTCCCAGGAAGGACCCAGAAGGCCCTTTGATAACCAGTGTTTAACCCCTGGTTTTCCTGGTAGGAGGCTAAGGCTTCACTGATACCAGCTGTTGCTGGCTAGGCCAAGAAGTCAAGAGTTTCTTGGGCTCAAGAAATGACTTGACCTTGACCACAGAGTTAGGTAAGCTTCTGTGTTCTTGATATTATTTCTGACCTCTACCCCTGCCCTCTCAGGTGTGAGAAGGAGGGATGCAGAAAATTATGTGGGAAAAATATAGAAGAGCATTAATTACCTTCATGAATTATGAAATATTCACCTTTCTGAAATCTATCAGGTTGAGTCCAATTGAACACGTAAAAACTCAGTTTTCAAATCATTTAAAAGAATTAATTACCAGGGCCATGGAGAGCTCAGAGAGCTGAACATGGGCAGGCCTGGGTCCCCTCCCCAGCGCTGCATGGTCCCTGGAGCACTGCCAGGAGTGATCCCTGGGTGTTCCCCCACCCCACCCCTCTTCTCCCCCCAAAAAGTCACGACCTGTTCTTAGCCTCTGGATACTAGGCTAGGTGTTGATTCTACATAAACTTTTCTCAGTGATGGAGAAACGTCCCTTTGAGTTTCCAGTGATGAGGATAGGATTTCTCTCTCTTATGGCAGATTTCTAATCTGCTTCCTTGGGTGTCAGCAGCAGTTTCTCATTCTGTAACTCACCCTGGGCTTGTGTGTGCAGTGGCTCTGCGTTCCATGTTCAGCGGCCTTCCTAGATGTCAGGAGAGAGGATGAATGACTGGTGCTTGGGGCGTCTAGAATAAAGAATAAATTGGTGGTGATGCTGAGTGATTTCCAGGGCTACATTTTCCCCAGGGCAAGCCTTGTCCACTGGCCTGTGTGTTGACAGTCTTGCACCATGGGCAGGGAAACAGCACGAAGTCATTGTGGCCAAGTGGGCCAGCCTTGCCTGGTGGTCTCAGCTGTATCATCAGGCACCTGTTGGTGTCAGTGAGAGGAGGGACATAATCTGACTTACTTAGGCTCGTGGCATTCATGGAATGTGATCTGCACACGGAAACCCATGCTCTCCATGATGCTTCTGCATCCCATCCCCTCTGCCCCTCCCCTTCTGCAGGAAGTGGCCCCAGGTTCTGTGCCCCTGAACGTGAGATGAGGCACTGTTTGCCCTCTGTTCCCAGCCTATTTCACTCTGTCTCTCACGGAGCCCATCTCTCACCCAGTTTAGTAATTACTCTCAACTCACTTCATTATCTACCTCTCCATTGTTCCTTATGTACAAATTTCAGATCCTTTAGATTGAAAAAAGATAACCTGCTTTTCACGAAGAATTACTGTGTTGATTGCTTTTCACCCTCCTACTCCTAACTTCCTGGCTTTCAGATTCAGGCTCCACCTGACTACGAGAGTCTAGGAAAAGCCTTCAAGGACCACTGAATTGCGTGGTCCAGAGACCTTGTATCAATCTGTAATGTTCGTGTGCCCTCTCAGTGACCATTGTGTTTGACAGTGTTGACTTTATCTTCCCTGTTTTCTAAGATTTTCCTCACTCTTAGAGATTCTTCATTCCTTTTCCTTCTTTTACCTAAAGGCCACTCTATAAAGTGTTTTCTTTCTTTACAAGTAGGTCTCAAACCTAGGCTCAGCATTGGGAATCCTGGTGGGGAGACCGCTATGAAGAAAAACACAGGTTATTGGGCGCTACCCTGGAAGTGTTCAGTTACTCTGGAGGAAAGCCTGGAAATCTGTGGCTTCCGCCAGCCCCTTGGGGGACCAAGTCTGGAGAAGCTCCACCCTCACCCAGGGATCCCCTCCAGCCCTGCTCTTCACATCCTTACACTCACTCCCCGGACTCCCATCCTGAGTCAGTTCCTGGTTCTTACTCCCTCGACTCCCTCTCTCAGATAACAGCACTGCTACACGAATCTTTCAGAAACATGTTTCTACTCACCCCTTTTCTGTTGTGTGATCTTTAGTGGCCCTCTGCACCAGAGTGCCCGCTTCAGGTTCCCTGAACGTAGCGTCCATGGCTGTCCACCTTCTCAGCCATACTTGATTGCCCACTTTGTATAGCCGTACCCAGATGCTCAGTGTAGCCATACACATTTCCTCACACTTACCTCTGCTCTCTGCTAGAAGTGGCTTTTTTTCCCAAGTGACTTTACCCCTTCAGAGACTCAGCCTTGAGTCTCTCTCTACCTTTTACCCACTGCTTCTAACAAGAAGCAATCCCTTCCGTGTTCTCTGCCCCCACAGCACGTGTGTCTTGCTTATGGCACTTGTCATGTTGACTGGTGTCACTGAAGCTGGTTGTGTACTGTGTCTTAACCTTCCCTCCTAGACTGTGAGCTCCTCGCGGGCAGGGACCGTTCTGTGTTCACTCTTTGTGTTTCCCGTGGCACCTAGCACAGTGCCTTGCACTTAATAGGTGCTCAATAAACATTTGCTCAACTGAACTGGAGGACAGTGCCTTCTTGACTGCGGTACCCCACAGTGGGACCTTCACCCAGAAGCCGTTTCTCAGGAATCAGCTATGTCGCTTTAGTACCTCTCACCACAGTCTGGGTAAAGGGCCTGGGTCCCTGTGGTTTCCTTCCGCTCTGTATTTTAACACACAGCCTGGGTCAGAGATGGGTACCTAATAACACAGGCTGCACCCCACAGTGTTGTCTGACTTACTGTGGGTAAACGCTCTCTGCAAGACACCTTCCCCAGGCTGGGCTGGTGAGAGCCGCTGCTTGGATTTCGCCCTCTGGTGGCAGGTGTTGGGAACTGCAAACTGCTTTCCCCAGATCTGTTAGAGGTAGTTCCTATCAGAAGGGAAGCTGATGGCAGTAAGATGGGGGGGAGGGGGGTTCAGGAACTTGGTGACACACACCACACACACACCCTCAGTGCCCTTCCTTAGGAAGTGAGCTGCCCCCCATAATTCTAAAAGGCTTTTTTAAATTTAAGTTGGATTCACATTCCTTCAATGCCCAAATGTGGACTTACGTGTATATCACACTGGGCAGATCAGGAGGCTTGTTTTCTCTTAGGGAGGATCCTGCATGAAGGTACCCAAGTCTCCGGGGGCATTCGCCTGGGGGTCAGAACAGGGGCAGGTCTCCCTTCCTTTTCTGTGCAACTTGAAACCTTGTGCCCACCCTCAAGCAGGCTTCTCCCCGCTGCTACTTTTCCTTCCTGGCCATCCCACTTCCTCTCAGTGTCATGTTTTAGAAATTCCCTGGGGCGTGCCCGGCTGAGACAGACCTTCCCGGAGTCTCTCAGAGCCACGCGCCTGGAGCGCAGATGGGGTCCTGTGGGGAGGATTCTGTGTGTGCAGACCCACACGGCCCATTGCCCGCCGGCCTTCCAAGGACGATGCCATCCTCAAAATCCCACACCCCACCTCGACACTTGGTGCTTAGAGATCTCATCTCCCAGGCCCCTCCTGCTCTACTGTGCCTCTCAACTCACCAAGAGTGTGGACTGGGAAGAGTCCACACTTCCTCAGAGCTTTGGCAGTGCCCTGGGAAGCCCCTCTACCTAAGAAGGGCATTATTGCCCCTTGAGCACTTGGCACAGGATGCATGGGGCATCAGTTGATCCCAGGGCACCCACCAAGCTCGTGCCTAACTCCGCTCCATCTCCCTGACCTCTTGCCCCTCTACCACCAGCGCTCTATACAAAAAGAGTTTGAATGGCGGACTAGTATTTCTCAAAGCCCAGGTGTCTAGGCTTCGGGGTTTGGAGTTCAGCAGCCATTCTGCCTCCCCAAAGGCAGATCTCCCCCAAATGCCTCGGCAACTAGATCGGACCCCCTCCCATGGACCCCCTCCTGCCTTCACTCACTAAACAAGCACAGGTCAAAGTTGTCAGCTTGGTGGGCAAGGGGGTCTGGAAGGAAGCTGTGTCCCCTCTCCCCCACACTGCCCCTCCGCTCTCCCCCACCCTACATCCTGGGGCCCAGGTGCAGCCCCGTGCATGTGGGAGCCTGCCGACTGCACATCTTTAAAAAAGAAAGGCCTGGCATTGCAGAGCTCTTGCACACCCTTTCAGTCTTCTAGTTCACTTAGGACCACACAGTTAAATGACTTTGGATGGTGTGTTTGAAAACCTGAAGCCGCCTCGTTCTCACTACTCAAGATTCCAGCCCTCTTGAAATCTATAGTTCTCAGGCCAGTGACAGTGGAGAAACTGAGGCCGGGCAGAAGGGATTTGCCTAGAAACAAGGTAGGAGTCCCCAGAGCCCTTGTGGAGCAGGGATCCCCTTGGTCGTAGGTTTCCTTGCTCTGTCACCCTCATCTCATTCCAGATGCCCGAGCGGAAGTTCTAAGTGTCTGGGGCTCCCCTTGTCCCCCCCAACTCCTGAGCCCTTGGGGGAGTCTCTTGGGCCCCACAGCCTGGGACCCAGTCTGGGTTACACCTTCCTGGTTCTCCGAGAAGAGGTCCTTGGCCAGAAGAATGCACTCGGCAGCTGCCTGTCAGGCGCCGGGATGGATCTATAAAGTTTCCGCCGCCACAGCAGCCTGGGAAGGACAGCCCCTGCCAGCTGACCCGCCACAGCCGCTCTCCACACCAGCACCCTGCCAGGATGGGTGAACTGCCCAGGCTTTGTCCAGCTTTTAAGACTAACGTCCCTGACCCCAGGCGTGCCCTCAGACAGAGAACCGAAAATCCTACTCGAGTAGTGTTACGATCGGGGTCAAGTCCACCAAGTGTCCTAAATGCCCATGGAACCTCCTCCGACCTCAAGTGCGTCTGTAACGCAGGACCCTGCTGGAGCAGGCCCCTGGGGATGGGCGGAGCCCAAACCAGGTAAGGCATGAACAGCAGACGTCTTCCGGCCCATCTGCACCAAGTCCTGCTTGAGGCCGGCATTGCTGCTTTCTCGCCCAGCTCGTGGCAGTAGTTGGTTCTAATGACACCCGGGGACAGTTGCTGAGGGAGGGCGTAGTTGGTGTCCGCTGAACACACAGGCTGCTTCCACCAAACCAGCAACAGACCCGTCACTGCCCCACAGGACACTGATGACACCTGAGGCTGGTAGGGACAGCACAGGATAAGAAGATCTCATTATGTGGAGAATGCAGGGCTCCCGTGGGGGACCACTGGTCCAGCTTCCTCTGACCGTCAAGACTGATCCATTACTTTAGCTCAGCACTCCACTGCTCTCCCTGCAACACCCTCAAAAGCGTTTCCCAGTTTTCTGGCACTTCCCATAGCCCCCAGACCATGAACTTGGGTGTCAGGGAGCAGCCTGAGCCTCAGGCACAGGCAGAGATTCCACTGGGGTGGGCACAGCCTTGGGCTACCTGGTTCCTTCTCCCCCAGACCCCTGACTGTAGAAGTGGCAGTCACGTCCAGCACCCAGTGTGCCAGCATGGCTCCACGGCCGAACACCCTGACCCTGGGACATCAGAGCCTGGGGCTGGACTGGTGCCTGGGAACCAGCTCAGACTCGGGATTGTGTGCCTCGAACCTTGCCGCCAGCCCATCCCACAGCCCTTTTCCAGGCCAAGGATCCAGAG